AATCCCAGGACCTGGGATCATGACCTGAGCCGAAGGCAGAGACTTTAACCTACTGAGCCACCCAAGTGCCCCGAAGTATTTCTTTTAAATTAACTTTCCAGATAACTAATACCTATTTTATTGAATACCACATTTTCTAAACATTCTCTTTACATTTCTAGGCCATACTATATACTTTAATGGCTCCTAAAACAGAAAATATTAGTACATCATTTTTTTCCCTTTCATCTTCTTGAAGATGTAAAATCATCTTCCTAAACATCTGTTATTATACAGGGGATCCTTCAGGGTAATTCAGGTACGAAGGTTCTTACTGAGAATTCATTTGGTGACAAGTGACAGAAATTCAACTCAAACTGGTAAGGAATTTATTGGCTTAGCTATAACTGAAAAGGAGCTGCTTCCAGGTATATCAACAATGTGGTTATCAATTTGAGGCTTCCCCTTTCTCTCTTTCCATATTAAGACACTTCATTCTTTGGAAGGCTTTTCTGTACATCACAAGGATTGCCAATAGTGAGTCTGGGCTTAGCAAACCCAACAAAAAGAAAGCTCTTTCTCAGTGGTTCCAGTGAACACCTTAAAGCTGACTCTCATTGGCCAGGTGTGGATCACATTCTCATGCCTAAAACAATCATTGTGACTGGGAAAGAAGTTCCCTCATTGGCCAGGCTTGTCCTTATCTTCAGAGCATTGGTAGAGCATGGGGATTGGGAAGGTGAGGAGGACATGAGTTTCAAATGAACCACATGGATGGAGAAAAGAGGAGATGGGGATTATACAAAAGAAAATTAGTATGTTAGAACCAAAAAGCCAGGGAGAAAGAAGCTTGGCAGGCCAAAACTGCAAATATGGAAAAGATATTTATCCCTATGTTTTTGCCTTAAATTTCTATCTTTCTGTCTCCTTCCTGTCAGCTATCACTCATACTGCTCTCAGTTTGCCTCTATCACAAACTCTTCCTACATTTTATTTTATTTTATTCATTTTTTTTTAAAGATTTTACTTATTTATTTGACAGAGAGAGATCACAAGCAGGCAGAGAGGCAGGCAGAGAGAGAGGGAAGCAGGCTCCTCGCAGAGCAGAGAGCCCGATGCGGGGGCTCGATCCCAGGACCCTGAGACCATGACCTGAGCTGAAGGCAGAGGCTTTAACCCACTGAGCCACCCAGGCGCCCCTCTTCCTACATTTTAACTTATAAATCCTATCTTCTGTGGGTTTGAAAACCAGATAAGCAAAGTCATTTGAGTTGAGAGTTAGTGGACTCTGAGTGAGTACTTGAGAGCTTCTCCATAAGTTAGGAGTATAAACTTTCTACTTTTTAATGGATTTCATGACATATTTTAGACTCTTTAAAAGGTCATTTTTGCATATTCTCTGATTTATTTGCCAAAACTGTCTTCATGGTTGGGGATACACTATTGTAATATCAAGACTCAAAATTCCCACAAATAGCATATATTGTGCAACATGCCAAGTTTGGGTTATTTACATTAAAAGAGAGTAGAATAACTAATAAAGTAAATTCTCAAGGCTCCAATTTAGCCAATAGTTTATGTCTATTAGAACTTGTTAGCTATTTAAAAATATTCTTCATAAATGGCAGAATTGGCTGACTTTGGAAATTTAATAAAGGAGTTGATTCTAGTGACATTGCCCAGGAGTTCTTGTATAATTCTACTAGCAAGACAGATGAAGAAATGACAATGATGAGTGTTACATTCACCTTATCAAGAAGCTGGCCTTGAAATAAAGAGGTACTATCAGACACATGAAAAAATGTTCCATCATCACTAGCCATCAGGGAGATTCAAATTAAAACCACATTGAGATATCACCTTACACCAGTTAGAATGGCCAAAATTAGCAAGACAGGAAACAACATGTGTTGGAGAGGATGTGGAGGAAGGGAAACCCTCTTACACTGTTTATGGGAATGCAAGTTGGTGCAGCCACTTTGGAGAACAGTGTGGAGATTCCTCAAGAAATTAAAAATAGAGCTTCCCTATGACCCTGCAATTGCACAACTGGCTATTTACCCCAAAGATACAGATGTAGTGAAGAGAAGGGCCATCTGTACCCCAATGTTCATAGCAGCAATGGCCACGGTCGCCAAACTGTGGAAAGAACCAAGATGCCCTTCAACGGAC